CTTCTATGTAATGATCAGCATGCTGTTTCGCATCACCAACCACTCTATTCTCTTTCTCATTCACATACCTTGAGCCTTCATGAGCAAGTTGATTAGTTGCTTCTGATAAGTTTTTCAATTTCCTATGGCCAGTCTCCAGATCATGACCAACAGAGAGCAAACTAGTTTGACCACTAGATGCAATTCTTTTGTCACTCTGTGGCACGAGAAGACCAGAACTATTCACTAAAGGGTTAAGTAGCTTGGCTTCATGCTTCACCTGAGTAGAGTTCTCTTGATTTGTAAATGTCGATTTCTTCAAGTCCTTGAGATGGTATGGCACTTTAACTTTTGTATCAGAACTATTTGAGCGGTTTGACCTGGCATTATCAAAGGACAAAGATTTACACATTGTGCCGGTGATATTTTTCTTTTTGTTGTCACCAGTAGCATTGTTGTCGACAAATCTATGCTTTTGGACACCACCTTCATCTGACAGTTTGCCCTTCACTTTTGAATCAATGATGTTGAATGATTTTGACTTCAACAGAGCACCTGTAAAGTCATGATTGAGAATTTATCATATGCAGTTACAATTCATACAAAATGTTGTCAAAAAATATCAATGGCCTCTAAGCTGCATAACAAGTATACCTTTTCTCATTTGCATTTGCAATCGAAATTTGTCTGATTTGTCTGATGTAATAGGTAAGTACGCATTTTTCAGATAACTGCTCGAAGATTGGTCACCAGAAATCACATCCGTGGTTGCCTTTATTTTCTTCTTATCTAATTCCTTTTTTGAAGCATCCTTATACTGTACAGTTTTGCTGCAGAAACTAGGAACCCTTGGCAATTTCACACTTGTTTCAAGAGCCCTTCTTTTACTGAGAGACACAGCTTCTGCATTGACTGTAGGTCCTTTGCCAGCAAAGCTAGGAGTAGAACCAACTTTGCCTGTTTTGATCTCAACTCTAGCACATTTACTTTTAATCGACAATCTGTTCTTGAACTCTGAAGCATCCACGTTTTTATAGTTTTTCCTTATACCGCTCAAAGATGATCCTTTTATGACCCTGTCAGCTTTTACATAGTTGTGATTTTGTTTCTCAGATTCTTCCATATGCATACAATCTTCACACATCCAGTCATCTCCAGGAACTTTTTCCATCATTACCCGCATGCAGTATCTGGTTGACACAAGAAGATAAGTTAAGAAAAACCATAGGCTTTCAAGTTCTATAGTGAAATAAATAAATAAACGAAAGTAAGCATGCAAAAACAAAAAGATCCAGAAAAGATGAGTTACATACATGTGCTCTGCCCCGTCAATGCACCTGCTACATGTAGCAAGCAACTCCTCACGACCTGTATCCCCACAGATATCACAAACTTTCACCTGTTTTTGCATGACCCAAAGAAGGACCAGGAAAATGGAGTCACTAAGATAATTGTTGCCCTATTTAATTGAAAAAGGGTAATTGATGCAATAGCAACAAAGAAAGAATAGCTTCCTACATCAACAGTGCAGTTTTATTTGAAGGCCAAAAATACAGGAAGCAATAGAAGGAAACAGGAGAATAATATAGGGTCAGGATTCAACAAGATAGCTATGTGCCATATTATCTATCAAACCTTTGCATCCAAATTAGTAACTGTTATTTGCATTCCAACAAAGCTAAAATCAAACAGAACTGCCAATTTCTTTCCCTTATTTACCACCTTATGATGACAATAACTAAATTTAGCATGTGTTCATGTGTGTGTGTACCCACACAACTTAAGTAACAATCTCTTTTCTTGAAACAAAAGAATATAGGCAGTATCAACTGGGCAATACTAATCAACCTTGTGATCATCTCAAAATAGGACAAGCATTGCTGGTCAATGCCAATCTACTCAAATAAGGCGGCTTAGCTGGACTAAATGAGATTGTCTACCAAAATAATCCCCCCACCACCACAAACCCATCCACTTCCTCCCTGCCTGTGCAGGTTTGCATAGAATGGGCTAAACACAGACTTAGTGTAAATCATATTATGACATAAGACCAGCAATAAGATACAGTTTTCCAGTCAAATGCACAGTGGATCAGATTATAAAAAGAAAGGAATATTTTTCTGAAGTACAAAAATCTATGAGAACACATTAGGCACCACCACCTTCAGTACTTGATAACCACTATACACCTGTGCACCGTTTTCTTTCAAAAACAAGTTTGTATGGCTATGCAACAGTGGTGGCGGTGCATGGCTTTCTGTGGTTGCAAGTGTGTGCATGAATGTCTATCTCTGTGTCTATGTGTCCATGTGCAGTACTACTATATTCATTTGTCTTCTTGGGACAATGCTCCATTTATGAGAGGAAAGTATGATGTCGAGGTTCACAACAACTTGTTCCTCATCATCTCAGGAATTCCAAAGTTTGCATATCAACATTTAAGGAAATTTCATGGTTCCATTCCGGTAAGATAGACAGGGCACAAGAAGCAAGTTTAGCAGTAAATTTTACCAGAAAGAAAAAGTACATACATCATCCTCCCCGACATCTGATCCATCATCACAGTTAACAGGTTGAGACTGCGAAGGAGCTTCCTGTTCCTCAACTACTGCATCACACTTCACATCATCTTCTTTTTTACCTGAAAAAATCCCAACATCAATCGCTGGGCCTCCGTCATTCAATTCAGAGTGAGTTTTCAGAGGTTCAGCATAACTATACATACCACCAATTTGATCATCAACCTTAAAGGTTGCCATGCTGTTTGACAATGTTTCTGCTTGCTCCTCAGGCCACTTTGAAGAAAACTGAAGAAGAACCCAGGAATTAAATTTCAACCTTAAATAATTTCTTCAAAAAGGAACAATTTTTCTGATGAAAGAAAATTAATCTAAATTACCCACCTTTAGGAAACCACGATTGGGGTCAATGTCAGTCAAAGATGAAATTTCTGACCAATTTGCTTTGTTTGAAAGAAACACTAATGCCTGTGAAGATTTATTTTGGTAAAAATTACTACCGGGCATTCAATTTCTTCTTCTCTTAAACTGATTACTACCATGAACAACTGATTTCTCAAAAGTCCTACCTTTGAATTTGACTCAAAATCTTGAGAATTAGGAGCTGCCTTTCCCATGGAGACTTTGTCTGAAAACCCGTCAGTCTCTGTAGCCCCTTGTGAAAGTGAAGCCACTGGTTTGATATGCATACAAGACGAAAGTGAAGTGCTGCTGCACACATTGCATGTCCAAGCTTCTCCTCTAGTTTTCTGAAATTTGTCACACATAACCGTCAAATTTGAGCAAATAAGTAAGAAAATACCATAAAAGGGAACAGCTGGGTTTCATGTCCAACAAAGAGCATATATATGAGCTAAAAGAAAAGAAAATAAGGGAGTGAAAACAGGTCCTCTTTGCTAAGTAATGTGTGACTCAAACACAAACTCACACGTGTTTTTTTTTCCTTCCAGTAATGTCATACTAAAATGCATAGCTTGTCCATATAAACACGAAACATGACCGAGGGCCAGTTTGTGGTTGCTGTGACGTAAAGATAATGACTGTCAGATTTTTTATGGGATAAATCAGTTGTGAAATAAAATAATTTAGTATTTGATAAGGGTTTTTTGTTAAAAGTATTGGTACAATAATCAGTTTATGAGTGTTTGGTAAATTTTGTGTAAAAGTGCTATGAATGGCATATTTTTAAATTATTTTTATATTGAAGTGTATAGTAAAAAGCAAAGTAATTTTATTTTCACTTTCACTTATATAATTCTTTTGTTTAATATGTTTTCAAACCTTCATACCTAAAAATTATTTTAATCATTAGATAAATAAAATACTATGTTAAAATTGTTAAATCACTGCAATTTTTAGGTGTTATCAAGAATAAATAGTACATAAAATATAACCATGAAAGAAAATTCAATCTCTTATGAATAATGTTAGAAATACAAGGCTTTATAAACTCAATAAATATATAACGTCTCATTCGTCCTCACAAAATACTAATGTTTAGACCTAATGGTAGCTAGCAGAAGTCAACTAATTTGCTACGTCTCCTTAATACAGTGGCGGTCCTAAGGTTTTGTAGGCCCTAGGTGAACTACCAAAATATGGTCTTCTACTCTCTATGTATATTTATGTGATTTATTTTCGATAAGTTAAAAAAAAATTATATGAACTCAAAGACAGAATTGTAACCACAAAAAAAAAAAATGTAATTCACATAACAACTTTATAAAATGCATTAAAACATCACTCGTCTTGCATTTTTCGATGCCAAAGTATCAATTAACTTTGCATAATCAAGTTTTTTACCATGACTTTTTCAATAGAAAATATAAGCAATAGTCTTGTGGTTTTTACCTCCTCGTTCTTCCTCGAAGATCGCTTCCTCTTGCAGTATATATTCAATAATAAAATGGTTTTTTTTCTTCTTCTTGTGTTAGAGCAGATTTTCCTATATGCTGCTAGGTTTTTTTTGTTTTTGCTAAGGTATATGCTACTAGGTTAACCTATTCAACTATGTTAACTTGCTAAACTTGTTTAACTTTAAAAAAATTAATTGGTCCCTTATAAAGTTTCCAATTTTTAGTTTTAGGCAAAATAATTGGGATTTTTTATAGCTTAATATAATATTAATATAGTAATATACATATGTATATATAGAGGTTTATAAAAGTTAGGGGCCTTAGGCGACCGTCTTGCCCACCCATGCTCAGGGCCTCCCCTACCTCAATAGCCAGAAATTAAAATCCATTAGCTGACCAACGCACTTTGAAATTATCAAAGTTTGCCCTCTTAGTTTCAGCATGACCAATTATAATTTGTATCTCGACACATGAAGATATTGATTAAAAACAGTTGTCCATGATCCTAACAACTGAAGCACATAAATTTCTTCACGTATTAAAGGTCAACAAGAGCCTTTGCGGATCTCCTAAACCGATTACTTCTAATAACTCTCATTTCCATCATTGTTTCCAAGACTATATGCAGACACACTCCATCGCAAAATACAAGAGGAAGAAAACAAAGAATATATATATACAGAGAGCTTCAGTTGAGGAATCCCTCAAATAAGCTTATAAGGGACATCTTTATAGAGCCCATTCTTATATTGGCTCGTCCACAAATATGAATATTCATTATGATTACAAATAAAGTATTCACCCACCTTATTTGTATTATTTTTATGAAACCTTGATGCTGACGCTGACACATCTCCAGCAATGACTTGATTCTGGCTCGAAGGGGTAGTTGTTTCATGTTGTAACATTGTGGTTATATCTTCAGTTACAGTACCCTCATTATTATTCTGCTCGTACACAAGCTGGATTCCAAATTCCTTCGTCAACATTTCGAATTCATCTCTAACCCAAACACGTATTTCATCCCCACCCTCCAATTCATCGTTTGTGAATCGCCAATGACTAAGCCATAACATATGTTCCTTCTCTTTTGGCAACCCTATTGTGACTGGCATATAGGTCCACTTAAGACCCTTGGTCTCATTACTGATGTGAAGAATAGGAACGCCCGAGTAAAATATCAATCTCTCATCACGAACCTTACCTTCTGCATACACAACACATGCATTTAGGCCTCGGATCTTCAAATTACGACGTGGAGGTATAGTTATAGACAGCTCAGAGTTACCCATGCTCGACTTGTAGCAAAACCAATCTGGAACCTTGCTCCCAGGAAGGAATATGCTAAATATACCACATTCATCCAGTCCCTGTTTCATGCATGTATGGAAAGATTTATATATGTTCAAATATTACAGGTCACAGAAAATAATCATCATAAAAAACTATACAATACATGAGAAAGAGAGAGAGAGAACCTGGAGAGGACCCTTCCTTCTTGTCAATGTCAAGTTGTTGCGCATTTCAACTTCAGTGCTTATGGATTCCAAATTGAACAGACCGATATCTTTGATCATTTCTATGTCGACGCTTCTCAACGGCCTCGTTTTGAACACGTTTTGAATTTCAACTAAATTCTCGCAAAAAAAAATTGCATCTCTAATTGTTTTTAACATGTCGGGTAAGTTTAGTAGTACTCTTTTCAATGAAGTACATTCACATGCGCGCAAAAGCTCTAAACTTGGTGGGAGCTCGGGAATCATTTCGAGGTTTGTGCAAAAATTCAACCAAAGAGCCTTGAGCTTACTAAGACCATTCATGTTCACTGATAGGCTCAAAAATGGGTTTCCACTTAGATCCAAAGACTCCAATGAGGATAGGCTACTAAGATCATTGGGAATTTCTGACAGATTGCAGTACTCCATCTTTAATTTTTTAAAAAATTGTGGCAAACTTGAACTGGTAATTTGGAGATTTTTTCTTGGCAATACCCATGATCGGATTGATTGCCACAATTTAACTGCAGAAAACAGACTGAGTTTCTTCATGTCACTAGGTGTAGAGTCTGACTGATTTTTAACGATCATACTGGCATGCAGCACAAGATTTGAGCAACCAGAGAGAATAAGTTTCTGGAGAGATCGCATCATACTAATTCTTATTGGAAGCTTCATGAGATTTTTGCAATCTTTTAGATTCAAGAAAATAAGTTTCTCCAAATCTCCAATGGATTCATCCACCTCTTTCAAATTTATGCAATCTTTAAGAATTAATCTCTCGAGGTTAGGTAAATTTTTTGGGAAATCTTCATAGCCTCCACTGATTTTTACATTATCAAGCAGCAGGAGTTCAAGATTGTGCATCCTTCTAAATGCCTCTGTTTTGAAACCTATCTCATTTGACACAGGAAATGAGTTTGTTGAAGAAGAACTAATTGACTGCCAGGAGAAGAAACCAAGCCAACTTCGGCTGCTTGAACAGTTTCCATCATAATCTTCAACGTGGAATCTTTTTCTGTTACTTCCACTGGATATTATCTTAGAAGACTCATCTTTTATTAACATAGGAATGTTGAGCATGAGGCCCTTAATAGTTTCTGTACCCTGGTAGTAACAAATAAGAACATTGGGTAAGTAACTTGTCACATGCACAACACAATTACAAATACATAGACATAAAAGAAGGTATTTCTTACAGTTAATTTTCTCAAAACATTAGAGGCATCTTTATTCCACACTCTAGTACGTTTTCCAGGATCCTCACGTGATTCTTCACGAATAATTCCCCTTCCCATGACTTGAAGTAATTGGTGCATGCTTAACTTGTTGGATTGGTGCATGGTTAACTTGTTGGATCCATCAATTATCAGCAGACATCTATCAACCAGATTTTGAATTCCAATGTTTGTGGCAAACTCACATTCATCAAGGACTGTAGTTGAAAAATCCTTGTCTTTTCCTATGAAGAAACAGGCTATATGGAGGAACAGACGTTTGTCGTGATCTTGCAGAGAATCGAAGCTTATTCTGAGAATCTTTTGAATTTTTCCTTCAGTAATCACATCCAAGTTCTGTAATGCATTTTTCCATACATCTGCAGCTTTTCCGAAGAGAGAAGATCCTAGAACTTGAAGAGCTAATGGAACCCCTCCACAGTGTTGCACTACAGGTCTTGAAAAATCCATGTAACCTTCGCCAGGATGGGGTTGTCCAAAGGCATGCCAACTGAAAAGCTCAAGTGATTCATACTCATGCAACCCTTCCACCTTAAATATTGCACAATTCTCATGAGCCTTTAACAAATGTTCATGTCTAGTTGTTATGATTATTTTACTTCCTGGATGAAGCCATTCTCGCATTCCAAGAATTGCATTGAATTGTTCCAAGTTGTCCACATCATCAAGAGCAATAAGAACTCTTTTGCAACATATCGCCCGTTTGATATTTGTTATTCCTTCATCCAAGCTGTATATTTTCTTTGCTTTCCCCTTTTGGAGATCTGAAAGAAGGTTCCTTTGCAAGTAAACCAAACCATGAAGTTCTGAAGTTGCTCTAATATCTGCAAGAAAGCTGCTACCTGGAAATTTATTGAAATTCTGGTTATAAGCAGTCTTGGCAATGGTGGTCTTGCCAATTCCACCCATCCCACAGACTACAGCTACTCCAACATCAGTTGATCCATCTTCTAACCACATGTTTAGGCCTTTCACACGATCATCTATTCCAACTAGATAGGAATCGACTCTTAATCTCCTATTCCATGTGTGATCCAGTTTATTTCCAATCTTTTCAACTATTTCTTGGATAAACTGCGACTCGTACCTATAAATTATTGATATCAAAATACACAAGGCACAATAAGTTATTTCCTTTCCAACAAAAAGAAACTTATTTCTTTATTATTTTTATTTTTATTTTATAGAAGAGAATTGATATATATATCATAGGTTGAAATGAATGATATTAAGTAAATGAACTTTCAAAACAGAAGTGCTGCCATCTAACAACTCCATGAGATTAAAGAAAAAGATTCACTATAATCTACTTTAAAAAGCATCATTTGGGAATGAAAAAGTACCGATCTCCTAAAACCATCCCTCAACCATCCCTCCCAAATCTGCACTTCTCCACCTTGTCCATCTCCTTGTTGAAGCGCTGTTGGTGTCTGGCAAATGCTTCTTCAAAAATTCCTGTCTGGTTCCTGACATGGGATGGATCCACATCATAGAAAATCGGCATAACCATGTGCTCATTAGTTTCTCTACGGTCCATGATCGTCACTAGTTCATCCAGGCACCATCTCGAGGAAGCGTAGTCCTTGGAGAAGACAATGATGGATACTCGAGACTCTTGTATTGCTTTTTGAAGCTCTGCTGAAATATTTGCTCCTCTCTCGATTTCGTCATCATCTCTAAAAGTGTGGATCCCTGCCACCTCCAAAGCCCTGTAGAGGTGATCAGTAAATCCCCTGCGTGTATCTGTGCCCCTGAAGCTCAAGAATGCATCATAAGTGCACCGGTGGTTTGGGGATTTAGGGTTTGACATTTGGATGGTAGCAGCCATTTGTATGTTCAGCTTGTGTTTGTGTTTGAGATAAAAAAAAAATATCGCTCTATAAAAGAGAACAGAATAAAGATAAGAAAAACAGGAATGCATGGACAAAGTCACAAAGTTAATGACCAAAGTGATAGAGTAACAAAGTCAATGTCTATTGCCCCACCAGCCACTGAACATTTGTGATCTCGATTTTCACACTGAGATGCGAGAGATGTATTGAAGACGAAGCTTCCTCTATATGTAACCTCAAGTGTAAATATCAATGAAAAGGAATCGGAGCTCTCTCCCTGTATCTGGGTGTATAAATATCAAACACTTGAGAGTATAAATATCAAACACTTGAGAATATTTCCCCGGGCTGTCTGTTTAAACAGTCTGCGCCCTTTTTTTTATATAAAACTTGAGCCAAAACGACGTCGTTTTGTCCAGGTTTTTTTGAAAAAACAAAAAAATTCATTGGTGGAAGTCGTTTTGATGTCGAGGGAAAAAAAAACATAGAAGCGCGCAAGCAATGCTGGAGCAATAGTCTGCACCCCTTTGGGGACTTTCATCAAACACTTTGCAGGGGTCAATTTTCTCTCCTTCAATGGCAGATTTCAGAGGTTGCAGGGGTCATTTGACCACCCTTGCTCCTCTGTAGATCCGTCCCTGAGTGGAAGTCGTTTTGATGTCGAGGGAAAAAAAAAACATAGAAGCGCGCAAGCAATGCTGGAGCAATAGTCTGCGCCCCTTTGGGGACTTTCATCAAACACTTTGCAGGGGTCAATTTTCTCTCCTTCAATGGCAGATTTCAGAGGTTGCAGGGTCACTTGACCACCCTTGCTCCTCTGTAGATCCGTCCCTGGATACAATCGCAGCCACACCTGTACATGTAGCTTACATTTCCGATCATTCTCGTTGAAATTTTGGAGGTTTCCCGGTGTCTACACTTGACTTGACTGGAGCAGTTGTTGACGGTTACACGCTGTACATCAGTTCGGAGAAGTTATTTGCGGTTTGGCGGTTACTACAACAGCAGATAAGTTTGACTAGTTATCATTAACATTAACTGCCTCATAGCCACATCATCCTGACTTTGGCCCATGGAATATTTTATTTTTCTTCCTTACCTGACCGGTTGTGCTTTCGGTTTTAGCCCATGTATTGGTTTTATCTGATAATGGTTGAGATTGAATGCAAATTTGTTGTGCTTTAATTGAGTTTGATTAAGAATCATTTTTGAGAAATTTGGGTTTCGTTTAGATTTTTGAATGGATGCATTGGAATTTTTATAAGGTTATAGGGCATTGAAGAAAAATTGGAGTTGCTACCACGATAGATGAACTGAAAATTTGTGGTTCTTGAAATAAAACGCCTTTGTTTCAAATTGTAATTGTGTGAATGGTATCACTTGATAAGCGGTTTCTGTGTCAAATTATGAATTTACAGATTTGATACTATTGTTGTGCTGAATGGTGATCTTTGTATTGAAGTATCTAGTTTTATTGTTGACTAGGGTACCCGTCGATCCACTCCAGTGGCAGATTTCGTAGGACACTGCTAATAGCATTGTTGCCCTTTTAGCGAATATCATAGGAGCAGCTGAGTCTGTATTGAGCGTTGCAGCCACAGGACCTGACAAGAGGTGGTTTTTCAAGGTAATAATGCTTGATGACTGCAAGAAATGTTTATTTTGGCATCAAGCTATTGCACAGTCTATATAACTCGGTGTCTATGGATGAAAATTTTCAATAGCTAACATCTATACATATGCTGCTGGAAGTATTAAGGAGAGGTCCTAATACCTGTCTTAAGAATTATAAAATGGCCCAAGTCAGGACATATTTTGAACTTGGATATTGTCAAAATTTGGATTTTTTTCATGGTATTGAGTTGCATATGCAAGTTGTTATGTGTGCATGTGTGTTTTCATGCTTGCAATTGTGTTTCTCACAAGGAAGACTTGGATGCCACTTGGTGGGCACTCCATAATGTACCTTCTCTTCTACTGCGTAGTATTTTAGAAGAATAGAATGGAAGCTAAAAAGTACTTGTAATAACAGTTCCCAAGAGAATAAAAAATATCTTTGTGTACCAGATCTGTGGCCTTGCTATAGTAGAAAATTAATGTTTTGCACTGAGCCCTGACTATATATTTCTAGCTATCTATTCTAACCATGAAACTTTTGTCCTGGGTAAAGGCATCTTGCGGTGGCTGGTCCCTTGGCTCACAGGCCGTCATATGTTATTAAAGCAGTCCGCTTGAAGAACAAATCTTGGCTGTGCTAGTCTATCAAATTGATCTTCTTTTTCCTTTCCGTTGGGATGGTTGCTGATGTGGCTTATCATTTTCGTGATAGCATGTTATCATGTAGAATAAAGTTATGCAAATTTGTCAATGATAATAAGTCATTCTTGCAGACAGCTCACCAGATAACTTCGTATTTAAATCTTCTCCAAGTGGTGTTTTGTCTTTACAAGCTTCCAGCTTTGGGACAGTTGGTGATATTTAAATCTTCTCCAAGTGGCGTTTTGTCTTTACAAGCTTTCAGCTTTGGGACGGTTGGTGTCAGGTCTTACAGTTGCCTATGCTGGTATGTTTTTTTGCTTAAATCTGTTACCTCTTCATAGCTGAATGGTTTTCGTAGTTTGGCCATTAGATAAAAAGCAGGGTGACAACTTACATGGTGTTTTGTCAGATTCAGTAGCCACTGTCTGATTTGCAACTTGCTTTTGTTTTTATTTTATTTTTTATTGATACAAAGTCTTTCACTATTTGGATACATTCATGTAAAATTTTCTTTTTCCTTGAATCTGTCTGCTCCTGAAACAGGATTATGCTTGTTTTGCCTTTATATCTTGGCCGAGAACAGTCAGTGCATGTTTGTCTCGATTTCTGAGGAGAACGAATGATCTAGCTGAGGAAGATGCTGCAGAGCAAGATACTCTGTTGTAGCTTATGTTTTCTGTAACCTCCATGTATAATGAATCTTAGTATATTTTTGTGCGGTTGTATTTCGGGCTACTCATAGTTTCTGTGTACATATTGTTAACCAGGAGATACAATTTTACGATGCAAATTGTCGAATAATTGACACCATTCCTGAATAAATGTTGGTCATTAGTTTTTGCTACAACTTCTAGGGCTTACTGCAGAAAATAGTCATCAACAAAATGATGGTACAAAGCCATCACTGAGAATCTATTACAAATATCCTTTGAGAGTTGACATTATTGATTAGAAGTTTTACTTACTGATTTAATCGCAACTTGTAAACTACTAATCTTATATGAACCTAATGGATCAAATGCAATGATTAGTGAGATTATCTACACCAGTAAAACATAACACCAACACACAATGGGAGAACCAAGAGAAAGCGATCAAAGTGGAACTGTTAGCTCTCTATTAACAATGAAACCAATACAGCCGCTGAGAAAAGAATATACATAATGTCAAGCCTTACAATCACAAACACTGAATAATGAAATATTACATCAAATTCATGAGAAGGCTTTCGAAAAAATTAAACTAAGCTGCACCCATTATAGCAAACGCTGATGGCTTTTGGCACCCAGTGTTTGGGATCACAGGCCTTGAATCTCTAGGGTACATGATGGCCAAAGGAAGAATCTGTTGCTCCATCTCCTCTGCATTTTCAGAGCTCCAACTTCCAAGTGGTATGAAACTACCATAATCAAGACCACAATTCGAAGAAGATGACACTGAAGAAACTTCCCTTATTGGTTCTGCTTTAACCTGTGCAATCTCATCAACTTTAGTCACAAAGGGGTGGTCCAATAGCTTAGCTGCTGTAAGCCTCTGTGAAGGGTTCCTCGCAAAGCAATTCTTCAAGAAATCTCTAGCATCTTCTGATAACCAACCTGGAACCTTAGGAACTCCAGAAGCAATCAGAGGCTTTAGGTCATGAAGTTTCACGCCGGCTTTCGCATCCCATGGGTGCCTCCCAGTGAGCATCTTGAGCACAACACAGCCCAATGCCCAAATATCGGAAGGCTTCTCCTGAATGCTATCAAGCACAGTTTCAGGAGATAAGTACATTGCAGTGCCTCTACAAGAACGCTCGCCCGCAGCCCTCTTTGCCAGTCCCAAGTCCCCAATTTTGGGCACAAAACCAGAACCAGAGGTCACAAGTAAGATGTTTTCAGGCTTCAAATCGCAGTGCACAAAACCCCTTTCGTGAATGTACTGAATTCCTTTCAAAATCGACTCTGTATACTTCCTCACTTGTAATTCACAGAGCCCGGAGCCCCCAGATTGCTTTATCAAATCCCTTATTGTTCCTCCATCAGCATATTCCAAGAACACATTGTATACCAAATTATATCCAATCCCAGCCGTGAAATCTTCTCCATAACAGTCGATAACAAAAGGGCACCCACGAAACTCGCCAAGAAGTGACCTTTCGCTCACCAGCTCAAGCGATTTAGCCATCAATGCCGATTTCACCGCCATGATCGCCGGAAAACCCTCGCTACCCAATTTGGGTTTTTTCACGGAGGCCAAATAAACCGACCCAAATCCGCCTTGGCCGAGAATCCGCCCTCGAACCCACTCACGCCCAGTAACTAAAAAACTCTTCTCTACGAGCCCTGGTTCGTCTTCCTTTAGGGTTTCTCTTTTCTGCTTCAATGAACCCATTGTTTTTCGTACTTTGCAGAAACAAAATTAAAGCTTTTAATTCTGGGTCTGGGTCTCACAAAAGCGAAGAGATGGAGAAAACGATCGATCGAATGGAAATGGGTAAGAGAAAAAGAGACAAAGCAGAGAAGTGGGTGATCAACGAATACGACGATGTCGTTGATACGGAAAACAGAGATCGAAGCGAACGTTAGGGTTTTCTCTCTGCTTAACTTTGACGCGGTGACTGAAGTTCGTGATTTCCTTTTCCTGGTGGTGTTGGGTTTCCATTATATAGAGAAAGCGTGTAAGCGTTCCAACGGTCATATTTTCTTTCGCGGACTTTCCCTTGCGTTCTAATTATTTAACAATATAATATGAAAAACAAAATGTTATTATTTTTTTATTTTGTGAAATCTAATAATTGACTGCTACAAATTTGAAATATCTACCCATTTTACCTATTACATTTTCATTTTCATTTTTTTAAATGTTACTCATAAATACTAAGGAACTTATGATAATATTAATTCTGCTTTACCAAGGATAAATTTAACTTTATAGTTAAACTAATATAATTAAGTGGGTAAAATGTGAATCTATATTATGTCGACGAAAATCCTTACCTTTGCTTAGAGAAACCCTCTTTAGCCGTACATACTTCGAGGGGGGAGGAGGTCACTGTTCCTCCTAAGGCTAGGCATTCAAATTGGTAACTTGGTCAAACCGGCCAAACCAAACCGATGGTTTGGATTGGTTTGGTTTTTTTTCAATTTTTTTTTATCATCGGTTTGAACCCAAATCAAACCAAAATATATGGTATATATAATATTATTATAAGAAATATATATATATATATATATATAATACATAGTTTCAGTCTTTTCTTTTTCTTCTCTTTCAATCTTTTCTTTTTCTTCTCTCTCCATCTCTCTGTTTGTTTTGTCTCCATCAGTTCCTCTCTCTCTATTTTTTTTCTCCTTCTTACGTCTGTCTTCATTCCCTCTCCTCGTCTCCCTCTTTTTTTTTTCCCTTCTTCTTCTTCTTCTTTCTCTTCTTTTTCACCTCTTCTTCTTCTTCTCCATCTCTCCCTCTCTTTTTTCTTCTTCTTCCTCTCTCTCTCTCTCTCTCTCTCTCTCTCTCTCTCTCTCTCCAAAAAACCCAAACTGAACCAAACCAACCCACCAAGTCCGGTGAATCGAAGTGGTCGATTTTCATCAATTATGATTTGGTTTTGGTTTCCAAAATAACCAAACCGAGGTCCAAAGTTCAATGTTCGGGTTGAGCCCAAAACCGAACCCACCCCTAGTTCCTCCTACTCCCCTCTCCTCTCTCCCTCCCCTCATCTGTCTTCCTCCTCCTCTCCCTTACTTTTCCTTCTCTTGTCCTTTCATCTCCTTCCCACCCCACCTCCCCTCCCCTCTCCCATCCCCTCACCTTCCCACTCCTTACTGTCTCTCTCTCCTTTTTTTTTTTTTTTTTCATATAGGGTTCGGGTTTTTATTTGCTTGGGGATGACGTGTCTACCTTTTTTGGTTTTTTTTTAGTCTTTTTGCAGATATCGGGTTTCAACTTGTGATTTACTTGGTGCATTTTAGTTTTTGTTTGTAATAAGTGCATCAACTCTTTTTGAGTTTTTTGCATGTTCATAGTCTCTACTTGTGAGAGTTTAAAGATTATAGTTTGCAGTTGCAGTTCTGCAAAACATCACATTTATTAAACGGGTTGAGCGGGTTATTTTTGAGTTGGTAGATTGATTCAAAACCTACCTTTTTTTGTTGCTAAAGTTAGGAAAGGGAAAGGAGGAAAACTCACACACAAATGTATCATGGGGGCTTGAACCAGGGGCTAGGACCACTTGGGAGCACACCAAAGTCTAGGTCAATCCAACTAACACCCCATTGATAAAACCCAACTATTTATTAATTGTGTCTTGGCATGTTGAACAAAAATTGACCCATATTTTTATTTTGTAATTGTGTCTTAGAAACTGAACGAAGGTGGGAAGAAAATGGTTAACTGACTCAATGGTCAATAGTGTAATAATTTGCAATTTTAAACGTTATTTTTGTCAAATCATAAAAAGTATTAGTCAAACTGTTACCCTTACATGTATCATACATACCACCACATAAGTACATAGTGTAATTAACTAAAAAATTGATTAAGTTTGGCCAACAAAATGCATTGAATTGCATAATGTTATCTTTTGACCTTGTTGATTTCATAATGCATTGCATTTTATATGACATGTTGTTCGTGTTGCTGAATAAAAATAAAAGTACCAATTTTTTTACGATTTTATCCTCTTTTAAAATAAAATTTTCAATTAATTTTTTTTTTAAAAAAACTCATGGCATTTGATGGATTTTTAAAGATTTACATGAAAGGAGCTTCGCCCCTTCTCTTTTGATCCTTTCATATGTTTTATTATTTTCTTTCTTTTAAGTAATTGGTGATGGTTTGAATTTTTAAGCTTTTAGAATTGATACTGACATAAACCAATACAAACAACAAATTCTTCCCCTGGCCATGGACAATCACATTTGGTACTACACAATGCACCTCAGTTCAATTTACGTAAAAGACAATCTTGAGGCAATCCAATATAATACTCCTCCATTTCCCTCCTTATCGAATGACAAAAATAAAATAAAAAAGATCAAATTGCAAAAAGTAGTATAAAAATTGTAGTTGAAAATTTATTAAGTACAGGACCAGTAAAATTTCTTTAAAGAACAGAGTCATATACAAATGTGACCTAGCTAGCAGCAAAACCACCATAATGACAATAAGGGTCAAATTAAAATTTTGGTTTGTCTTTTTTAAACTTATTGTTGTCGTTGAAAAATGAAAACTGCTTTACTGTCTGTCAATCACATAATGTTGCAACCACTGTTTGAAGCAGCTTGCCCGATGTCAACACCAACATTCAATATCCCAGCTACTTTCACAACCATGGTCTTAAATATCGGAGGTATCAGAAGTATCGGAAGTCAAAAAACACGGAAATATCGCAGGAAATATCGGGATATTATCGGTATCGGAAAAAATTGAATAAAAACCACGGAAATTGTAAGAAAAACTTGGAAATTTTTATTCAAACTTTGTAGGATGTTTATTTAGTCAATTATCTATTAGTTTATCACAAAAAATTGGAAGGAAATGCATTGCATGATGGATTTAATTGATTTAAGTTGATTATATAGCGAGCTGGCAAACACAAGTGTAGAAATATGTAGTAATTAATGAAAGAAGATTAAACACACCATAATCATTCATATATAATGAATTACTACAATATTTTACACTTTATACATTGCATGGTAAGATACATGAGTGACTTAGTACCACATAGAGTTCCTATGAGGTTCAAAATTTTCACTATCTTCATCATCTCTATGTGTAGAGTAAGTATATTTTGAAGAGTAGTCATCAAATGATAAATCCCCAAAATAGTTTTCCATGTAATTGTTAACATGCCACCCATATGGATCCGAGATTGGTTGACGTTGTCCATAAGCAAAATCATTTGAAGATTGAGTCTCGGATTCTTTCCATGTGTCACTTGATTCCATCCCAACAGGAATGGGATATGAAGGGTAGGGAAATGGTTGGTTATGAGTATAACCATAGTTACTACTCATCTCATATGAAAATTTATTTCTTGCAAAAAGAATTCAAAACAAAACCATGTATATATATAAATATTTTAGTATTTTCACAAAAACATAAGTGATATGGTGGTTAAGGTGTTGAAGGAGTAAAATGGGAGCGGTTCGAATCCCTCTATGCGCAACAGGGGAGGCTTTTCAAAAAA